AAGTATATTGCTGCGAAATTTTTGGGTTATGTCTAAAGATTATCAAAACCAAGATTTTCATGCAACCAAACCCCCTGCATTATGTATAATAAACTAGTGAATTGCTATAGTCCGAAAATGCACAACCAACTAAACTAAACATTAGCTACTGACCACGATTTGGGCATTAGGATGCGGCAGAAGGAACCAAAACCTTAGCTCTGTTATTCTTATCAAACCCTATCAGAAAAATTGAACCCATGACCCATGACTTTCCTCGGCAAATCATTCCACATAAATGTCAAAATTTCAGGTCCCAATCTTGTAGAGCAGATGAACCTGAATAACTTTCATAATTAACCTATTCTTCTAAAATAAAAGTACCTAGTTTTGGAAATATCTATATGACAAAATATATATCCGTTGCTATTCCGAGTTGAAAGAAGTTGATGACAGATTATTTGTATGCACTTGATTACGCAATTTTTTCACCATTTGGTCCACACTGTTTCGTCAATGGTTTCTAAAATCCCCATGTACTCCAAGGTATTCCGGACACCATGTATATGAAAACATTTCGAGGTCGATTTTTTACGTGAATAGAACCCTTACTGCCGACGGAAGTAAAAAGTCATACCTTTATTACAATAATCAAAGCGCAGATTTTTACCAGCATATAGCAGACTTCCAACCAAAACACTGCCAGAGGGTAATTCTAATTCTATTTAACGCCACCCCTAATTAGGGGCTCGTATAATCCCTAAACAGTTCCGACGGCCGTCAGATATTGACATATGGGCCCTGTGCGGGGATGCTCCTGTTCGCATATAGTAATCCCGCGCACACTTGATTAATACTCCAATATCAATTTGACTGTAACTGATTTCATAAGCCCTAGTTCAAGGCCTGGGCCAAGGATCCTATGCATCAGGGACCACTTTATCTTGGACGCGGATGGTTAAGTGATTTTTTATGTGATAGAGGGAGCAGGCTGTAACAGAATTATCGCGAGCGTTTGTTCGATGATAAAAAATATAACAATAACAACCAGAAATTTTCTTCACTTTTTATATCGACTAGATGCTGATAATATTTTCCTGACTGTTGACTACTCAGGGGAGTAAATATCCTTTTCCAAAAAAGTCCTTGTGTCCCAAAAAGGGTGTCCAAACACCCAAGTGTCCATCCGGGATCTGCTTTCAAGCTGTCCAAGCTGAGCTGGTGAGAAGGCAAAATTCCTGCTCTCCAGCACTTATCCAATCATGATTTTGAGATGCACGAAACATTCTGAAAATGGTGCCCCTATCGCTTGAAGTGCTTATGAACTGATTTCAGACTTGTATGATATTTGATTATCGTACTTAGCTTTGAAATAACTTTATCGCACCGGCATTTGAAAAATATACTGTTTCGACAAAAGCGTACCACCTACTCAATAGGAATATTATAAATACCTGTGGTACATCTTGAACAATAAGTCATCCACTGAGTAAACAAAAATTCAGAATTGTTTGCTTTAGAAAGCATAACACATTTCTTCAAATCCTCCCAATTTCAATTGCATTTGCCTACAAATCACCCAGCACACTTATTAAAATCAAACCTAATCTCCTAATGCACCATACATTACACCATAAAAACTGAATCTACATTAGAATAGAGCACCGTCTCCCTTTTAACGCGTCCCAACTAGAGCCATATGTAAAGTGCTACAAAATATTTTTGGATCGAATATCGGCCCGGCCCTTCAGGCTCAACCCGACAAAGACAGAAACTCTATTTGGTCTAGTACACCAGACAGAGATAGGTTGGGGTCGGGGGATTAAGAGTGTCTCTATTTAATTCCGGTGTATTAATTTGTATTATATGAGGATAAAGTGGTGGCACTATGATGGAAAGTTGGCGGGTAGGGAAGCGATCCCTTTTCGGAAAGTTTAGGGTCTGGTGCCGTTCCATCGATAACGTACCATGTGGTCAAGCAAATTAAAAATCTATTACGATCAAGGCAGATTTAGCGAAGATTAATCTCGTATATTTTATGTATGTTGTCAAAAGGGTGTTTTGTGAGGTTTTACGCTCGCTGATGTTAAACGACTATTGATTCGGGTCAAAAGGGCATGGATAATTTTATTAGGGTGGATACAAGTAGCCGCTCTTGACAAGATACAAAAAAATAAACGATGCCTGAAGTGGGTATTCACAACAAATTAATTACTAATGTACAATAATAATATAATATCTACGTTGTAATGTTCTCGGTGCATTTTTTTTGTCCTTCATTCTTTCTTATGATATCTAACATTGACCCAGTTGGTGCATATACCAACTTAGCAAAATGAAAACAATCACTTTTGCCTGTTCTCGTTGTCAGCCAGTGGAAAGCTGATGATCAGTTTATATTAGACTCACGGAAATCCATACTGGGTTGGAAAATCCAGTTAATTACCAGACACATTTTGTGGAAACCCCAGTGATAAACCAATCGCTAAGTGTAAATACGCAAAATGGTCAATAAAATTCAAAGTTTATTGGGACGAGAGCATAAAATTGATGCAGAGCTATTTATATTGGTATACGACCGGATTTTTAATAGGAGTTTATTCCCAATATTACTTGCAAAACGCTTAAAACGCTGAAAGAATTATTGTAGAAAGTCTTGAATATTTAACCCAATTTGTTTTATCCGCGACAAACTATTAGTTAAAATTTGTCACAAGACATCTACCGTCGAAACAACATAAGGGTTCTTGTTAGCTTAATCAAAATTTCACTTTGTAGAATCGATAGGTCGAGATTTATAAACTCCATCGTTGCCGCCACCGTTCATTGAAGCAATTCTTGTTCCATCTTAACAATGTTATAGTAATGTTTTTTTCCTGAGTTCCTGTATCCCTTCAACCCCATTGCATGCTGCTGCCCTCAGAGTTATCCAAAAAGCTCTGTACTACCGTCAACCAGTACCTACCTAACGCGAAAATATCAAACTGCGAGATGACGAAGCTTCTATTCTCAACATGCCACCTCCAAATAATGTGGAACAGCTTCTAAGTTTCCTGCAAACTTGTTAATAACATGTTCTCTAACAAACTCAACATTCTTCTTGCCCTACAATCGAGACGATCACGTGGTGCAAAGGGGGATAATTGTACCAATATTTTTTTCATGATTTCTGTATCCCTTAAACCCCATTGCATGCTGCTGCCCTCAGAGTTGTCCAAAAAGCTCTGTACCACCGTCCACCAGTAACGCAAGCAATCCGTCTACCAGTGACACAAAAAATCTATCTTGATGACATTGACTGACAATCAGTTATGAATCAGTTTTTTTAGCTGTCAGAAAGTTACGATATCGAGAGACTGACACGTTATATTTAATTCATTTGTTCATTGTGCGAAATTAAATACCTACAATAACATCCAGTATCCAGTTAAGTAAACTATTTTCGTGTACCCACAACCAACAAAAATATTTCTTTAATGTTCAATTTATAGCTGTGAGACATAAACAAAAAACAAAAATATAATCACCTAAAACTTTAAAATCGAGGAAAAATTTAACCTAGAAATGTTTCTAAAGTTCCTCATCTGGAACGGCAGCAATTCTAGAAGCTCACGAACTACACCAACGTTGACGACGAAAACGAACGGTGCATAAATCAGCCTGCTAGCTTTTATTCGAAAAAGCCACAGCATTTACCGAATTTTCTATATTTTAGAATACACATTAGACGACTTATATTATTTAGCTAAATTCCTGAATTGTGTAGTATAACATATCCGGGTTCGTTTATCAAGATTAAACGGTGTGAATTTTTTTATCTCTTTTTAAATAACAATACTTCTGAAAAACGAAATGAAAAATAAATAGGAACTAAGTTGTGGAAACTTAATCAATTTTACTTACTTGACATGCGCCCGACTTTAGCAAAATTAGGGAAATTTAAGGGAAGTTGTTATATGAAAAATAAACGAAATTATGAAACGTCTACTTTATTATTAAAGTAAATCGTACCGTTCTCGACCTGGAACTAGAGGGAAAAGAGCACGGCAGAGAAACAATCGATCTAGCACTCTTCAGAAATCAAAACATACTGTGTTATTTAGGTAAATAATTAATTGTGAGTAAATAACAGTTTATATTAGGTACCATCCTTTGTCCTTGTGCTAAAATTTGAATTCCACATACCACATTCAATCAACACTACCTATGTTCAATACTTGAGAGTTTTTGGTGAGTTAGCCCATCTGCCGGCAGGTACTGAGGTCCCTGGTTACGGGAGACTACACAGCTATAGTTGTTATTTTGAGACTCTGGATCGATTTTTCAATTTGTTTGCCAGGATATTCGCTCGTCAAGGTAGGAAAATGTCAGTAGATTCAACAAGGCCCTAATGCACGCCCTGAATACCAAAAATTAAAATCCCAGCACAAAAGACAGCACATAATTTCTTAGGTTTTATTAATTTACTGTTTTTCTGCGTTGTTTACAGCATGAAACAATTTTTGTTAAATACATGAACAATGCACATGTTATAAAAAATATTAAAAACAAACAAAAAATCATAAAAATGAAAGAAATAATACTTGTATAAATTGAACTCTCAAAACAAGATAACATTTATTCAACTGACCTGTGAATGCTCCTTATGACACACATACTAATCACAAATTGGATTGAACAATCAGTTTAATACAAAATAAAACTTGAATAATGAACCATGGCGGACAAGAAAAGCTTGTTCCCTTTTGTCTCTCATTTTGTGTCTGTCTAGCCTTTCGGTACCGGTCCTAGTGGCGCGTTCAACCCTAAGCTTGACGGTGCATACATGGTTGCAACATTTACTTTTATTTAGTAGACGTTTAAAGAATTTAGGATTTGAAGAAATAATATTTCAAATAGGTGGTTTTCCTCAATCGTATACCCACACACCGAGCTTGTCTGATACAAAAGACAAAATTTAATAAACTCCGTCCCTATTTTTCTTCGAAGATATGCTACATTTATTTCCATTCGAATTCCAGATCTACGTACTTCACCAGGAAGCATCGACTGTTATCCGAATGACCATGATCATCCGTTAGCTCTTTGTCTTCCAACGTCCCAAACTTTGGTACAGGCTTCTAGAACTCCACCGCCACCGTGGAGTTTACCAACAAAGAAAGGTACGCCAGGGCTGATATGCGTCGTTTGCGGAGACACAAGCTCTGGCAAGCATTACGGGATATTGGCCTGCAACGGATGTTCTGGGTTTTTCAAGCGGTCAGTTAGAAGAAAGTTAATTTACAGGTAAATAAATTAGATTTATGGAAATAAAAGACAAAGGTATCACGCATACAAAAATCCGACTACATTATTACTATAGATAAGTACACTGAAATTAGTATAAAAAGCTATAAGTCTCAATAAAGGGACAGAAGAAAACTATGTAACTCCGATGTCTTAAAGATTGATCTGGAAACATCACTTGAGACGATATATGCATTAAGGTGATTGGGTTTTTTTTGAAAATTCTTTTACTCCGGATCCTCGTATAAGTTGAGCTTGAGTCCTCTGTTTGTAGAGGGGATAGTCTTGAGCACGGGCGTCGCGTCGGGGGGGGGGGGGTAATGGGGGTAATTACCCCCCCCAGGATCCAATAATCAAGGGAAAAATCACGATGCCCAAAAGAAAATACATAATAATATTGAAGAAAATACTTTTTTTTTTGTTTTATTTTCTTCACAAAGGAAATAATTGTTCTGGAAAAGTGAATGACCTTGAAATTTGCAAAAAATTTCGCCTGCGGCGCGTTAGCGGGGGGTCGCATCTTCCCATTACCCCTCCCAGACTGCAAGTCACCCGTCGCCATTGGTCTTGAGTCCTCTGGAGTGATGTTATAAATCATTTAGAGGTTAGTAGGTGGACGGGTATTTTATATGAAAACCTGAAGCGGAGGAAGATGTTCTATATTCCTACTGAGAACTTAATTAGGATAACACTCATACCTACATACTATGCCTGAAATGAATCGACAGTAAACTAGCAGACTCCAGACTCTCTCGTAAAAGATCAACCGTATCCGTACCGTTTGCAAAACAAAAACTTCAGGAGTTGCAAGTTTGGAATGTAACATGAACCAATTTATTGAATTAATAATGTTTGAGTAAGTTCTAAAGTAATTTATTTTTCGTGAACAATCCAAGTTTGAATAATTAGCATAATTAGTAATAACAAAATGCTCAGTCCCGAATCCACTCCCGAGCAATCTAAATACGAAATTCCATTAAACATGCTTAATAAAACTTGCCATAAACTGATAAAACTGGGCAGCAGTCTCGTTAAAGCAAATGGGAAACAGTAAAACCTCAATCCAAAGTGGTCATGAAACTGGGAAACGAGCAAAGTTATAAGTGGGTCGAAGCGGATAATACCTACTGCTTTCCGACGATGGCGCTGCCTTCGAAATGAAAAAGCTTAACTCGAAATTTTATTTTCTCCTAAGCTGTCATGTTTGCAGCACAAACTTTCTCGAAAATAAAATTGCAATTGCATATTGTCAAGAGGCTAGTGAGACGTTTTTTAGATTCAAACTTCTAACAAAGTCGAATTTTTGGTTTGGGCAGCTTAGGCTGCTTCTTCAATCGATTAAGACACAAGCCCTTTTTATTGGGCGAAGATAATTTAATTGGGACTAGCATCATTTGTGCTTTTTGGAGCTTTAACCCGTCCTCGTTTATTTAACGATGGTCTTCAGTTACAGTAGGTACCTCTACATCATTCATTCATCTTTTAGTATAGTGCTCAGACACAATATCGGTAACTATTGTGTTTTGCAATGTTTTACTTTTATTTATCTATCTTTTCCATGTCAGTTAAGTTACTCTTTCCTTGTACGATCTCGTGAATATTTCAATTTCATTATAAAATTGCTCGTTCTCTGCGTCTACAAAAGGAGCTGTATGGGTGTTACCTCAAATTTTGCTTGTTTCTTTTAGCTAAACGCCCACTTATTTAAGACTACTTCGGATAGATTTCCATTTAAAAGTAGTGAAAGCAAGCAGCGAATGTCGTTGTCAGGCAATTTAAAACTCATTTTCGATATTTTTTCGTAATATTTCAATGTAGAAACAGCGAGAAAGAAACACTTTTAGGGCAAATGTGATCCGTTGTGGTTTCTAATGAAATTTTGGTGAAAAATACTTTTACAAAAATATCTGTATGACTATTAGTTGGATGGATTTTGTTTGAGAAAAAGTTGAAACACAGCAGCAAATGTAATTGAATAGCAATTTCAGACCCACAAAACATTTATTTAAACACGAAATGCCAAGAAACACTTTTAGGACAAAGGCCCAACACTAACAATCGAATCTGTCTATCGACATTGTTGATCAACAAGTCGACAAAACTGCATATGTCCACACCAGAGTTGACAGAAATGTTTGTCGATCAGTCGAAATCAACATGTCTGACGAATATGACGTTATAGTTTGCTTGTGCCACATATAATATTATCGCAACTAAAAAAAGAATGAACGCAAAAGAAGTCTTTGGGTTCGACCATGTCTTCAAAGTTTCTGGTTTTAGAATCCCATAGATTTCAGTTTGTATGCCTCATTAAATGATATGACTTTATCTTGTTCCCATTCCATTTCTCCGACGAAAACACACGACTACGATGACATCAAGGCAAGACGTCATTGATAACTAACAGTTTGTTGAATGTCGAAAACACGTCAATACTCTAAAGTCCATCGACTGCTCTTTCATGTTTATCGACAAGCGATGGAAAGCAAATCGACATAATGATCGATTTATCTTGTCGATCGACACCGTCGATTGCCACGTATACACAAGTCCGCAACGTCAATAGAGTCGATCGACAGTGTCGACTCGGTGAAAACGCAGCTTTAAATTACCTACTAAGGATATAATTTGATTGAAAGGGAGTGGAAAATCGCAAAAAAGCCATGAAAATTAGAAAATGCTAAAAGAAAGCACTTTTAGAATAAATTTGGTACTTTTCATAGTTTTTAGATCAATTTTGAACCAAAAATACTTGTAAGAAAGGATCTGTATGACTATAAGCTCCAATTAATTTTGTCTTTTAATTGAATCCGTAGGTACTTATGTAAGACTTCTGGATGAATTTTTACTAAAAAGAAGTGAAACCACGCTAAAAATGTTGAATTGCAATCCTACCTCATTTTGGAAATCTTAACCACTCTTGCTATTTGAATAGAAAAAGCCAAAAGAGGGCCTTTTTGGGGCAAATTTAGTCTATTTTGTGGTTTCTAATGCAAATTTAAACCCAAAATTCTCGTCTACTATAGAATCTGTACAACTATCAGCTCTAGTTTGCCTCAATTTTTATTTAAAAAAAGTGGAAACACGCATGAAATACTCTCCTACTCTCCAAAGATGATAAGTTCAAGAATTTTCTAATTTCTTCACAATTAATATCTTAATAAGGAATATTTTGTGTACATCCTATTCTTTTGAGAAATTTATTTTGTAATCTCTCTAGTTTTTTCTTATGTAGAACATAATATGATTGAGAAACAGTACTTCCATACTAAAGAACTTTTGGGCTATTAATGAAATACTATTTTTTTTTGAAAAATGTTTCACCCTGTATCTTGGAAACAAAGCGTTTCCGGACCTATATCCATAGGAACTTTTTCAATTATTTTCAGGAATACTATCTGCTCTTAAAATTTTTAACACCCTTTCTGAAAGACCCTGTATATCAAAACAACCAATGGCGTCGCACCAAAAATATACTTTTTACCAAAGGTGCATAAGAAAGGAACACCAGGCCCATTGTATCTGTTGTTGTATCCCCCTTTACAAACTAACCAAATTTCTGTCAAATTTACTTAAAGGGGGTGATGTGACCCTAAAAAACGACTTAAGCTACTTAAATCAAGAAAAAAATTCTAAGATCTCTCGTGAAAACCGCAGTCCTGTATTCAAAATAGTTTCCAAGAAAATTCCTTTTGAAGATCAATTATGCAGGAAATTGTGATGTCACAACCGCCGAAATCGCAGTCTTCTGGTCGTTCAGTCGTCAGTGAACCGTACCCGTTTAATTTGAGTAGTTGCAATTCGCTCTAGGAGATAATTATCTTTTGTTTTGGAGAATTCTTACACGTGTTAATACTGTCCCTGAAAATCCAGTGTGACATCACAAACGCCTAGTTGTAATTTTAAACCGCCCTAACTCGAAAACGGACCATTGTAACAAGATGCGGTTTGAATATTTATTCTTATAGATTTTTTTGCACTAAAACTTTCTAATCAACCATCCAAAGACCTTTTTTTTTCAGTTATACATGTAAACCCCATACTTTGTGAGTGGCTTGCTTACATCAAGTCCGACAACTTTTCCCTCTACGACTTTTCTCGGAAATGGCACGTATGCGCGCAGGCGAATCGCAAACATGTCGATCTGAGGTAGCTATGTTTCCTGATACATGTAAATCTAATTTTACGAATAATGTTTGTTTTTTATGTCTAAATCACGGAAATCAACTTGGCCGACAAAAATAATGGCAAATTGGGGGAGTCCGATACCCCCAAAATGTCGATCTGACGAGGTTATGTTTCCTGATACATGTAAGTCTCATTAAAATTTTTTTCGATTTTAAATTAGCTCTATATTGTAAATAAATGTGTGTCCGACAAAAAAAAAATGGCAAAAATTTGCAAAAAATAATACATAATCGAAAAAATATTAACAGCAAAGATACATTTTATTGTAATCGGTAATCAATGTACTATAGACTACTCCAACTTATGAAAAATATTGAAAATTTTAGGAATTATTAAAAATAAAATTCTTTACCTGATAATTTATCTACCTAAGCTACTTCATTTCATTTGAATTTACCAGTGTTGCCAACTGCTGTTTGCAAAATTAGTGGCACGGAATTCCACCTTTACTGGCAATTACTAGCAAATACAAAATGTCGAATTGAGGGAGGCCCTATTTTTAGGCGATTTCAAGTCAGACACAAGTCTTGACTCCTTTTGTATTAACATTTTCAAATCAGAAATTATGACGTCAAATTTCAAGACATTGGCTTAAGCATGGATAACTCTCTGTAGTTACCGGAATTTGAATTTGTGCTCATCATATCCTGAAACTTCAAAAATTGTCATTTAAATCAGCATGAGCATGCAATATAACGTGATCATTATATAATATTGTCACGCTTAGGTTGGTTGTGGTCAGCGGTGCCACCACTTTTACTTCGCTTGGCTGCGTCCACCAAGGGTTTATCTGAAAAGAGAGGATATGGGGG